CAACTTGACTTGGACCATGGTAATTTTGTAACAGAACGACATTCCGTCCAGGTTCAATGCATCTAGTTACTTTAGTTCTGTTATTCCCACGCGCTTCCAAGCACTCGGGTCAACAAGCGCTGTCGTTTTCCTAATCCAATGTCGCGCATCGGGGTCGTGGGGGGCAGCGCGTGGCTGACACTGAATTCACATGACGTGAACATCCCGGTTTATTAAAGAGGTCTCGTGTCAGACACGTGATGGCGCAGTTTAGCAAGAACGGATAAAAAGTAAAAAATGGCGGCAAAAGGTGCAGATCACCCCCTAAACTCAACAATTGGTGGCAAATCACCCCCTCAACTCACTTTACACACAAATTAACCCCTCAACTCACCTGTAGACTGTAGTGGCAAATCACCCCCTCTGTTAACTTTATATTAACAGTCCGTTAGCTTTTAACAGTCTGTTAACCCACCCTTCTTTTGCGTCTAATGTGGCATTTTTTATGCTGAGATGGATGCTGAGATGGACAAGCCACCTGGACAAATACCCAAACTTGTGTATCATTATGATGTTCCATATATTGCTCCTTTGTTCTTTATTAGGAAAAATTCTTGATCAGTGGAACTTAAGCAAGGGTTGGTAAGCTGCAGAGGCAAGAAGGGAGGATAATTGGAGAGTAGGTAAATCATTATCTTGCTCAAGTTTGTTTCTTTGCTTCTAAAGACTTGTTTTGAAAATATTTCTTGTACCTTATTTTTCAGGCAAATTATTTGTGTTTGACTATATGAAGAAGCAACAATGACTGCTTCATCTACATTTTTGTGTATTGTTGTATTATATATATGTATATATATATATATATATCTTACTTCGTATTTTACTTTGTTAAGGCTACATTGCATGTATGTGTGTGTGTGTGCGCGAGTATCCAAAAAAGTGGGCAGGCATCAGTCGGACCTCCTAATTTTTTTTTAGTCCCAAACGGCACCATTTAACTAAAACACCTCTTCCCCTTGAACCCTCCTTTTAATCGAGCATGCCATCGTCTCCATCTTATCGTCTCCATCTTGTCCATCAAGCTTAGTGCTCTGAAATACTTCTGCCACCTTCTAAACACACAAGCCTACAAAATCTAAACGAATAATTATAATTTGACAAGGTTGTATATAATTGGCTAGGTAATTTAAATCGTGTATATCATTATGTGAACCTTACACAATTTTGACCACATGATAAAACTTGGATTCAAACCTAATGATAGGTGCACTGCTAGCATGATTGCAGCATATGAAAGAGAAAAATTTATTTGTTAAGGCTTTAAACCTTCTGCTGCAACAGGAGAAGGATGGGTTTGAGCCCATGGCTGCTCCTTATTCTGTCATTGTGGATTGGTTTGGTAAGATGCAGTTGGTTGATAAGGAAGGGCTGGTGTTGGGCAAGATTGCTTAGCAGGGTGAGATTCCTCCTTTCAAGATTCATGTGAGCCTCTATGACATGTACTCAAGGGCTGGAGTTAAGAAGAAAGCTCCTCAGGCTCTTGGAGTTCTTGAAGCGAAGAAGGAGGAATTAGGGCTCCAGGACTTTGAGGGGATTGTAAATTGCCTCATAGCAGGTGGGTTTATGCAGGAAGCTAAAAGGCTGTATGGTATGATGGAGGCTCAGGGTATTTCTGCATTGGATCAACAAAAGGTAGCCCTAATGGCATCTCAAACCTTCACTCGGAAAAGACCAATGAGGAGATATGTATTTTTTGCTGCAATTGAACATCAATGAGACGACTGGATATTGGTCATTAAGAATTCTTAACAAATTAAGTGGCAAGTAGCTGTAATTTATGAACAAGTGAGAACATACAGTGTCAGCTAAATCCAATTTTTGTTCAGTTATTTACAAAGAGAATACTCACAACAGGAAATAAAATAGAGCCACAGGATACTCGAATTTGCTCAACCAAGGTTCTCTACTCTACCTATGGTTGTTGCAACATAATGGGGGTTTAAGAGTGGTGAAAGTTTAACTTCTTGTATATCAGTTACATATGTATTCAGATAGTTTCTCTCCGTTTGTACTAGTAACCTATTTACTGCTTTATTGTACTCAATATTTATTTGCCGTTGGAATATAGGAGCAAGAATTCTTGTTTAATTGTGGTAAGAGAATGGTTTCTTTGTGGTTCTGAAATATAGGCGTTGTAACAGGTTCAAATGCCAAGATATTAATTGGGAGTCTTCCTGCACTCTTACTAAACTAGCTAGGTCCTAGTACCTTAACTTCTTGTCCCTTGTTTACTTTGGTCTCTTAGTGTTTCCTCAAAAATCTCAAAGCAGTACCATGTGTAGCAGATTTAGATCTAAGACGTGCCACTTATGCTTTTTTTTGTAAAATAAAAAAAGAGGATTTTCCCAATGATCCTCTTCTTTCTCGTGCCGAACTTTTTATGGATGGTGGGAAGAACATTGGTTTAAAGTTGTAATCTGCAGCTTCAAATGATTTGCAAAAATGAGGGATGCTTTCTTGCAAAAATGAAGGATGCCTTCTTGCAAAATGAGTTACTAGATCTATCTGGAACAGGTCTAAAAACTTAAATACTACTGTGAATTAAAGTTAGCAAATTCTAAATGCACTAAATGAAATGCAAATCAAAGTAAACTTGTAAATGAAATATGCATACAAATTAAACTAAGCATATTCATCGCTAAATTAAACTATAATCTATAAACATAATTAGAAGTTAAACTACTATAGAATTAGAAATTTAATCCTAAATAATCATGGAACTAATATAAATAGAAATTAAACTAACATGTCAAAAACTAAGAAGAAGCATGAATATCATATAAGTAATAAGTAATCATTTGAAGAAAAGATATTTATCATAAACTTAAACAAATACCAAATAAAAAAAGAATAATATCTTGTAGAAATTGAAAAGTTTGCCATTCATTACATAAAAGGAATTGCATAAGCAATTACGCTAATTAGTTTGGTTATTTGATGTTGAAAACAATCTAAATTTATTAGGAATTGTGTTGTAAAGTGAAATATGGAAGCTAAAGTAAGCAATTGTTAATTAGATTTAAGCTAACAAGATTTAAGAGTGCTAAACCGAGTTCTGGGTTGTGTGTAAAGCTAATCATATGTTGAATGATTTGAAAATATTTCTTTTGTTTGTCTCCTCCAAGCCTACAATGCTCCACTAGCTAGCAGTTACACAATGTAGGTCATTTCTTGAAGAAGTTCAATAGCTCGATAGTAGAATATGTCTGATCTTCATTTACATGTCACCACTTGTTTTTATTATTTGTCATCTCATTATTTTAATTGATTTATCTCCTTAAATATAGCAATAATAGGTCTACTTCAATTCTAATAAGCAATTAAACAGATAATCTTCTTCTGTTCGGACTCTACACCTCAATTGGCAAGTGATATGTCAAAAGTCTCAACACTAGATTTGATGTGGTAG